GCGATCTTTCCTTTTATGTCATCCTGATAACTTACAGAGCTTTCAAGATCTTAACTCTAACAATGATTCTGCTTGAAATGCCTAGAACAGCAGCAATGACTGATGAGCTACAAATTTTTATGGATGGCTAGTCAACAAGAATGAGAACAAGGAAGACAATATAACATATCTTCGGGCCACCAGACAAATTTTGAAATGCCCATCCCTCGGAGGAATCTGTAACCTCTAGAGGGTGCGGCCTAGGGTGGCGCTCAAGGGAGCCCATCTCGTAAGGCGAGACGATTTCAATATGTCGACTAAAGACCTGCGGACAAACAGGGACCCAGTTCATGAGGGCATTATAATACAGGGGACAGACTGGTCTCCATCACCAGTCTCTCTCCATGCCAGGGTTTGATGGCATCGATTAGTGGAGCCGGATAGCGACTGGCTACGGGCTGAACGACAGAGCGGTTGGAATTCGAGTCCCGGGAAGGTCAAGAATTTTCTCTTCTCCACGTCGTCCCGACCGGCTCTGGGGTCAACCCAGCCTCCTATCCAGTGGGTACAGGGGGCTCTTCCCCCGAGACGTGAAGGAAACACATACCTTTAACTAGTGTCCAGGTCAAGAAAACGTGGATATGTACAGTCACTACCCCATACGCCTTTACTGTGTAGTGCTTAATTAGTTGGGTACAGGGAATTTACTTAGCGGAGAATCAAACCGAATACCTCACAAATATAAAGCACAGGCTAGGTTCTCGTGCTGTAATCTTCCAAAACAGGTTCCGCAAAGAAGTAAGCAGAACTGCCCCACGCACCATTAGACACGAGACCATATAAACCCATGTGGGAATGGAGGTATACCTCCACACATTCTTCGTTCCGGCACTAGATAAAGGTGAGTGGTCAGCTTCACGCCCCCGCTCCATTAAGTCAAAGTAAAGAATGAATAGTACCAAAAACAAACTCCGTGGCCTCTAGTCCGCAAGCGAAATATACCGANAACTAGTACCAAAAAACAAACTCCGTGGCCTCTAGTCCGCAAGCGAAATATACCGAACGAGCGATCGCAGCTTGTCGGAGAAGTTAGTGCCAACTTTAGCGGTTAGAGGGTGTCGCGTGGTCAGCGCAACGGATCCCCACTGACGTTAATTTCAGTTTTCTAGACCGGAGCCGCTATTTCCTTAAAAGAGCTCCTCAATTATCTTCACGAGGCGGAGTAGACCCCGTTCCAGACCCACTACTTCTAAAAACCTGGTAACGCCGGGAATCGAACCCGGGACCTCTGAATCTGTAGCCAGGAACACCAACTGGATAAACGGTGCGGTGGAGAAAAGAAAAATCCCTGTCCGTGCTGGATATCGAATCCCGATCAGTAGACTTGTCAATATACTGCGTTGCTCCAGCTCCGGGATACATCACACATCGTCGTGATCCTCCTACGGGAGAAGTGGTGCGGGCTTCGGGGAAATGCAATGCCCTCCCCCTTAATAACGGTATTTACAGTGAGAAAGAGCTCTCCCGTATAGCACGCCCACACAGGAATAGTGAACATGAAGGTAAGAAGAAGAGCTGCATTATCAGCACTGCTGACAGTTCATGACGCAAGAGACGGAGACATGCAAAACCTGCCACTCAACCCACTAAACCATCTGTATTTATACAAGCCTTCACAGACCTAGTAACTACTCCTTTACGTGACGTTTCAGTACACCAATGGATATTAGAATGAGAGCCACGGCTGACAATTCCTCTGCCTATAAGGAGTTACTCCTGGGCTAAGTTGAACATATAGAGGGTGTCCCGCGTGTTTGGTGCCATACTTCAGAGGTTCCCTATAGAACAACTTTGAAATAGGAACCCATGTCCGCAAACGTAAAATACCAGCGCTAGGGCGGCATTTAATATCATTTTGTTTAAACTTGGCGCCTCAATGTCCAAGAGCATGCACAGGCATATAACCCCCTCCAAACTCTTAAGACTCACCTGCTAGAGTAGATATTGGAATTGGCGCACTCCATTTTCAATGCATGCGTTACTTCGACGAAAGAAACTTTGGTGCATTCTTTTGAATTATTCCAGGTGTCTCACGGATCACGTCACATGCAACAAGTATTCTGGCCAACAGCTCGAATTCATTATCCACAGGCGTGTCGTGGAGCAGGCTTTTCACATGGCCCCAGACGAAATAGTCCAGAGGTGTCAAGTCTGGGGATCGGGGTGGCCACGGCACTGGGCCTCCTCATCCTATCCAACGACCATGAAAAGCAGCATCCATGTAGTCTGGTGATACAATGCTGACGTGTGCCGGGCTCCGTCATGCTGTATCCACATTTGCCTCCGCACAATCAGCGGCACGTCTTCTAGCAAAGTCGGAAGGATACGTTCCAGGAATGCCTTGTAAAAGGGCCCATTGAGCCGCGGTGGTAGGAGGAAAGGCACAAACAAGTGATCGCCAATGATGCCCGCCCAGGCAGTGACAGAAAATTGCGCCTCGTGGTAACCAACTACAGTAACGTTGGGATTTTCGTCAGCCCAAATGTGGCTGTTTCGACAATTGAACCAGCTATCCCTTGTAAATTGCGCTTCGTCTGTGAAGAACACGTGATTCAGGAAGTTGGGCTGATGTAAACAGTGGTTCAGTATCCACTGACAAAATTGAACTCGTTGTACGAAGTCAGCTGGACCTACTCGTACGTCGTGTACTCGCGTTGGATGATACGGATAAAGTTGCTGGTCGTGCAGGATTCTCCAAACACTTGATTTTGATGTCCCCACAATCTAGACAATGGCGCGAGTGCTGGTGGATGGCTGTTCCTCTATGCAATGCAGTTCGACATTGAGGCGCCAAGTTTAAACGAAATGATTTTAAATGCCGCCCTAGCGCTGCCATTTTACGTTTGCGGACATGGGTTCCTATTTCAAAGTTATTCTATAGAGAACCCTCAGTACGCTCCTGAGGTATGGCACCAAACTCCTGGGACAACCTGTATAGTGGCAGAAACGGAAAGAATATAAAAATAAAACGTAGGAAGTACGCTGTGACTGCAATCTTCCTCGCACGCCTCCTACTGTAATCACCACCACCACCACCACCACCACCACCACAAAAACCGCCGTCACCATAATCATCACATTTGTTACACAGGTGCAACACGTATAATGCAAACAAACATTTAGGAGTGTTACTTAAATCACTATGTAGCTGTACTCATATCGCTCCTGGTTTGTTTCAAGGACGCCTTTTAGTAATATTGCAATTTATATAATATTTACGCCTTGTAAATGAGCATAATTACAAAAACTCAAATATCTACCTATGGCCCTACAGTGTTTTGTTGGGCCTTGGCCGCTTTTTTCAATTTCTTAATACTATATAAAGTTGGTATGATTCCTTGGACGGGAGATCAGCCCGTCGCAAGGCCGCTACCTACACCGAGTAAAACACAAACACAGAATAAACGCACTCATACATTCATGCCTTGAATGGGATTCAAACCGACGATCCCAGCGTGCCAGCAAGCGAACACTGTTCAAGCCGTAGACTGCGCGGCCCTTGTGCTGAGCGGAAAATCAAACAGGTACCCATTAAAACACACATGCAACTAGTGACGGTCTGAACTACTAATTTACATCACTGTGAAAAGTAGCAATTAAACAGGATGTGCAACATAAGATAAAAATATTAATGTTTTTTGGTTATGACACTGTGTAGTTTCACATATAGTTACCAACGTTTCTGAGGAACCCACTTCCTCCATTTCGAAATCACCCTGAAGATGGATGCAATACGTTCCTCTGAAACGTTGGAAACCTACTAAGAGAATAGAGGGGCCCATAAGCCAGAAGACCACAATCGTAAACGGTCAAGATACTTCCCTATACTTCATGTAACCCGAAGACGAATTAGTCACGAGAACAGCCGTGCATACTAAGGCCACGCAATTCCGCTAATGTCACCAATTCATGTTATTTATGACCCACGCTAATTTTATGAATTCATGTCTACCTACGGCTTCCAACGGCCGCACGCACAGAAAAGGAAATACTGAAAGCGAGTGAGCATCTTTCGCCTCTAGCAGATCCTGTGTATTACAAGCACGAGTAGACGTAAGATTACAGTATAAGCCCGAACATATGACAATCATAACTTTTCCAATGAGAAAATTAAAAAAAAAAAAAGTTCTTGACAAAACTGAATATGTCATTTGAAGGTAGCAGGCAAAATGAAGTAGGAACTATACCATTAAGAAAAAATAAATCTAACATTTAATAATATAAACATAATTCTAGGTATTTTCATAAACATTGTCACATGTGGGCCGTTTCTAGGAAACGAAAGTTCAAACACGTTGCCATGGAGAGACTGATTACGGAACACGGTTTCCATGGATACGGAAATTGGAATTTGTAAACACACAGAAACCAAGCGGAACACAAGGTTTCCGACATAACGCAATCACGAGGAACAGTAACAGAACACTTGAAGACGGTGTTCTCTATTCGGGCCGCGTGGCAGATATAAAAGGGAATTCAATCGTGAATTCGAGAGTATACTCTGGCAAAAGACAGACCCGTCCTCTCGTCAGAGAGAGCCCCACATCAACAAACCCACAACTGGCTGACAATAAATAAGATCTGGTCCGTAGACGTGTGCTTTATTCCAAGATAGCTTGGTCGACTGACCGTCGGTCGCAACATAACTCTGACTTTGACTTGAACTCGGGAATAGTAGAGATCAGTCGGATATTCGTTAAGAGATCCGTCAGACAGACGTCCTGCAGGTTGTAATTGTAAAGAAGTGCCAACAAAACCAATCATCAAATCCAGAAGCCATTATAATTAGTCATGATAACCAGGAATACGTGACAATATATTTAGAATTAGCAGTCAGAACTGCCCAAAATATTCATATTTATTCTTAAAGACCAGGAAATAATTCGACTCCTCTCTTCATAGCAGTATTTGCAAAAAAGACCTCGCCGTACATTCGGGTTAATTCAGTAGTTCTCACTTACATTTGGGCCTGAGCGTGAGGTTTCGTATCAGCTTTTTTGCGTTTCTTGTTGACCCCTCCAGAGACGGCAGCACTCATCTTGACCCGCAAAGGGTCCTGGAGGTTATATGGGCCAAGCCTGGAACAAACAACATTCAACAATAAGCATTTATACAATATGCAGGATACATCCGGATTGACTGACCTGACGTTCTTTTTGTACAACTACCCTGAGAGGTTCACAAAGCTATATCATTTTTATGTATCAAACCATGATGGCGGCCGCGCCATGCATTTGTAGTAGACATATAAACAAGGGGTTCCTTCCGATTGCAACGTACAGATCCTGCTTTAAAGATTATTATTAATTTAGTATTGCGAAGGATTCTTTACATTAGCAAGATTCTATGTCAAACGTGTTGCATACAATATCGCACCTTTGTCGCACTACGGTCCTGGGCACTAAAGTGTGGCAAGCAGGCGCGTAAGGTTGACAACCTCACCGCCATCTAAGAGTCGACTGTCTAGAAAATGTGGGAACCTCGACGACTCACAAGCCTGTGGGCCTCCACGGTCAGTTACAGAATAGTCTTGCCGTTTCTTTTCACCACATAAGTATACTTAAAAGAGTCTATCTCCATACCAAACTCCGCATTGCTAGACCCAATCGCTCAATTGTTACCGCCATCAAACCAAACGCTACGGAAAATGTTTGAACCTCATCCCGATATTTCAAATCCTATAAAAAACGACATAATCAATAATACCTCAACAACAGCTGCATATTTTTCGAAGATCTATTTTTTTTTTCCATTGGCACTACAGCCCCAGTAGGCCTTGGCCTACCTCCATGAACTTCTCCGTTCACTTCGGTTTTTCTAGATGTTAGACATACGGTAGGAATCCTTGGGCGGGTGATCAGCTCGTCGCAAGGCCTCTACCTGTACACAAACACAGAAAAACGCACACACACACACAAACTAAACATCCATGCCCTGAGTGGGATTCGAACCCACGATCCCGGTTTCCAAGCTAGCGAAGACAGTACATGCCTTAGACCGCTCGGCTACCGTGACCGGCCTTTTCGAAGATCTACTGCCACACATAATTTCTGGAACCTAAGTCCGGTGGCGTTCTCACCTTACAAATGTTCGCGTGAGCCATACTATTATTACCAGGCAGTAGTAAATTAAACTGAACGGGGTTATGGCGTTCTCGAACGTTCATACCATTTTTCGTGAAAATCCGTGGAATCGTTGAGAAGTTCAATTGGAGACCAGAGCACGGCGAACGAACATTCTGCTTACTGTAGTTAAGGGGACTAAAATACGTATATCATTTACGAAGACATGCGGCAAAACCTTTCCACCAGGTTCCCATCTTGAGTCTGTTTTCTGCAGACATCATCACGAACCCTTAATGCAATTAGGGACTCGATCAACCTGCTCCTGCAGTATTGTGCAACCTTCAGTTCCACGCCTGCGGCAACAGCTAGTCAAGTTTTCATTTCTGGAGAATTTACGTCACAGTATCAAGGGCACTGCTGTTGAAAGCACGATTTAAACACATATTAAAAGTACTGGAGGTGAATGCGGTGCGCTGGGTCCTACAAGAGCTCATTCTTGTACCTTCCAAGAACATTATCACTACTGTGGGCATAAACCTATAAGCATTTAAACACATTTCTATAGAACCGGAATGAACATACTACAGCGGGTCTTTAAGAAACGGCAATGTGATAACATATACTATATAACTATATTTATGCCGGTCACGGTAGCCGAGCGGTCTAAGGCATGTACTGTCTTCTCTCGCTTGGAAAACGGGATCGTGGGTTCGGATCCCACTCAGGGCATGGATGTTTAGTTTGTGTGCGCGTTTTTCTGTGTTTGTGTACAGGTAGAGGCCTTGCGACGAGCTGATCACCCGCCCAAGGAGTCCTACCGAATGTGTAAGATCTAGAAAAACCGAAGTGAACGGAGAAGTTCATGGAGGTAGGCCTAGGCCCACTGGGGCTGTAGTGCCAAAGACTCACGACTGGGACAAACGGCGGATTTATGTGATCAACCTTGGGGTTCAAATTACAATTTACCAATCATCGGAATAGAGCCCCGGATCTATAGAACAGATTAATTTTTAAAAATAAACAGACTATTCAAGACTATAGTAAACGACACGTTAATTCCAGTGTGAGGTATTGTAAAATGGATAAATTAACGGAAAGAGAACAGTATGGGTATTTTTCCTCTTCAAGAAACTGCTCTGAAGTGCACTGACATTACATTTCTCCCACAGAGTGTACTTAATGCGTTTCTTCCGGTTCTCAGTTTAAACATCTACTATTTAAAAACACATAATTAATCAGCCGACAAATTTTTGGCGGTGAACAAAGTGCACTGGGGCAAGTATTCTCCGAGTAGTTTGGTTTCCCCTGCCAATACACATTCCACCAAATGCTCAACAAAAAACAAACTCCGTGGTTTTAGTCCGCAAGCGAACTATACCAAGTGACCGCCGCTTGTCGGCGAAGTTAGTGCCAATTTTAGCGGTTAGAGGATGTCAGGTTGTCAGCGAAACGGATCCCCACGGCCGTTAATTTCGGTTTTCTACACCGGAGCCGCTATTTCCTTTAAATATCTCCTCAATTATCCTCACGAGGCTGAGTGGACCTCGTTCCAGATCCACTACTTCTCAGAAAAAATCTGGTAGTGTCGGGAATCGAACCCGGGACCTCTGGATCTGCAGCCAGGAACTCTGGCCACTAAACCACAGAGACCAAATGCCCAACGTTTATTGATCATCCTATCGCCGCGGTGACGTAGTCTTGATACTGAGAGCGTCGTTAAATAACAGACCGAAGGAAAGAAAGAATGGCAAATCTACAAAACAGACAAAACTCCCGTGTGAGGTCTTGGTGCATGATTTCAACGGGTTAAGGTCGACATTTCTGTCGCCCACTTCACGCCATGTCATGCGCATATGAAGGTTCTGAGGTCAGATCTCGCTCACATGTTATCTACGCTCCACCTTCTGTGTCAATGACGGCTTTGCAAGATTGGTCTCTCCTCAGGGAGACGGAAATATCCGTAGTCTGCAACATCCATTAGGAAGTTTCAAAATGGTTAATGCAAATCCTAAAACACTGCTGCATTGGGTAAGAGACAGAGCGGGCGGTCACTCAAGCGACGCCAGAACTGCGTCCCACTGCATGGCGTCAGGACGGCGGCGCAACGTTCTCAAAGCCAACAAATCAGTTATACAGTCGCCACCATAGTTCCGCATTTCAACTCAATAAATCCCGCCAATTTCAAACTTAACCAGACAATCAAGAAGAACGAGACATGCAGCACGCGTGTATATAAAACCTCAACCAGAAAACCTAAAGGGAAGTGATGACTTGACAGATCTAGGTATAGCTGGGAAGACAGCAAGTGGTTTTGTAAAGAAACAGAATGAGGATGTGGAATGCATTCATTTAGTTAAGGACAAGGCGTAGTGGCGGGACCTTGTGAGCGCTGTAACGAATTATCAGGTTCCACAAAGGACGGACGGGAACTTTCTTCATCAGCTGAACCACTACTAGCTTTTCAATGACTCTACTTAATAGAGGTATAGTATGTAGCATCAATTGAAAAGGGCAAAATTGTAAATAGATACGCCAGTTCCCACAGACAAGTTCATGTCCTTCATATGAACGTGATTCATTTCAGAGAAATCTGGGGACATTATTATGAGACGGTTAAATTCAAATAAACTTCCCTTAAATCACTTCCAAAGATACTCGTACAACAGACCCGCTTGAAAGTATAATACGTACAATTAAACTACTTAACACAATTTCCACAATAACAAACAGCAAAATAAATCAAAGGGTCGCCATCTTTACCATGTCATTGTTAATCACAAGTAGTATGCTGCGAAATCGACTTAAAATATTCCACGACAATGCAACACTCCTCGACACATCAACACGTAACTCAGTATTACCAGAACACAGTTGCCACCAACAACCTTGAAGTGTCACTATAATGAACATTCATAACGTACGAGCCTGTTGCGGTTCGACCACTTCTACAGACATTTCACAGTACGTAAAAGACAGTAGCACCATCCCAGGGAAAAAAAAAGGGACGCCTCCAATGATGTGAAGGGGCTCAAGACACGTTCTTCCAAATCCAAATAGCATGCTTTTACATTTAATTAAATCATGTCACTATTTGGCTTATTCCTTAATTTTCTATATACGAAGATAAAACACACCACGAAACATAATTTACAATGTAAAAGGAATTTCACCTCAGTACAGACTCAATTAACATTAATTTTCATCTTGGTCAAACCATGTCAATACACTATTATATACACTTAATTTCAATTAGACTAGCACAACAAAAGGGTCTTTTCTTCAAATAACTTCCATTTTCGAAATCTAATCTTCACAATTCAATATCAGAAGAATTACCTGATAAATATAATTAAATTATTCATTGATAGGTATGGCGGTTGCGTGCAGATGCACTCAGAACAGCTCTAGTTCTACCACTACACCCTAACCTAGTTAAAACAGATTTTGTAAAAGCCATACACATGTTTCCGGTTAACAAATGAACCCCTACACGACAATCTGTCGCGTTGCGAATATCGGTGCGTTTTCACGACACAAATTCTTAAAGCTCGTATATATGTATATACACTGTAACCCTTGCAAGTGGTCCACATTTTCTGGTTTATTTACTCCTTATTTTTCACTTTCCCGTATCCCATTAAACATTCTACAAACAGTCGAATACAAAAACTCACTTATTCCGTATTGTGGCACAAATGTTTGTTCTCATACTCTCGTAACAAAATTATACGCACAGAAAAAAAAAACAAATATTAGCTTAACGCATGCCTCATGTCCGTTAAATACACCTTTCTTTACGTCTCCGCGTTAAACACTTCCTACTTACACCGATTCTTACTCTGCAGCTTCGAACCATGAATACTTTCCGATAAAGAGAGATTTCCGTTTCGGAAAGATCAAAGTAGCTGCTTTCATTACAGGACCATCAGTAGATGCGTACTGTTTCAAAAGTCTAAATCGTGTAAATTTCTATAAACGTAGATGGGGGGTTATATTTTGCTGCAGACATGTCT